CCAGGGATCAGACAGGCCCATTGGTGAGGGTTGTGAGGGATTTCCCCAAGAGCCTACCTCAGATGAAGCTGCCTAGACCCCATCATAGACACAGCCCCTCAGGGAGGGCAGACGGTGAGATCACTGCCTTCCCAAATGTTGGGCGCTCACTGCTGCCTGAGCTAAGGAGTTATGACACTTCTTGTCAAAGACAGAAAACAGAGCAGACCCAGTAGGAGCTTAATTCAGGCTTCTCCAAGGCAGGCTGGGTTCACCTCTCTCTCTCCTCTTAGAATTTGTCAAAACAACATCATGTGCCTTTTGGTCTACTTCTCTGCAGCTGCCCTCTTCCCCCTGTGCCTCGCGGCCTGCCTCAAGGATCGGATTCCAGGATTTTTTGTTCTTATTCCAACTGGCCACCATCCACATCCCTCCTCCCCATGAAGCCTCACTTGCAGCCCTGCAGATCTGAGCAGGGCTCCAAAGCACGTGCACTGAGGGCCTCTGGCTGGAGGCAGCCTCCTGCTATCCTGCTATCCCTGCTCTCATGCACTGCAACTTCCATCTCTTTGAAGATCTTGTTTTCCTGTTTAAGTAAATGAAAGTTCTATTCTCCAGTAGCCAATGGTAAAATTGAACTAAATCCTAACCTTGATTTTTGCAACACACTCAAGAATCTCTTACAGTTTTCAGGTTGAAGGGGTATCAAATCATGGGGACAAAATTCATTTTACCTCACTTTGATTAAAAACAGATATGTCACCCAGTCTGAGGGTAAGGTGGGGCAGATATAGTATTGGAGTAGAACAAACTCACTCTGAGTGTCATGAGAGAGATTTAAAAATCCTTCTCTCAGTAATTCCAGGTCCATATCTCTTACTGTAATTTCAAGTTTCAAGACGCTTTGAAAGTTAAATTTTATTTTTATAAATCTGGTCACAAATTTTACTTTGGGCAATATTTGACCTGGACTTCAATATGAATGCTTATCTGCAAAAATAATAAAATGTTTCTCCAGATTCCACTGGAGGGTTGTGTGTATTTGGAATTTGCACCATATTACCGTGATCAAGTCTCAAATGGTCTCCACTAGACTGTCATTGGCCCCAGAGGCTTTAGATCTAAGGCCACAAGCCTACACTGGTCCTGCCTAAGTGTGTGCCTGAGTAATTGTGGTGCTAGCGATTGAACCCAGGGCCTTGTGCATGCAAGGCAAGCACTCTACCAACTGAGCTATAGCCCTAGTCCCTAATTTCATCTTCTTTATCTTCTCAACACCTATGTGTTAGAGACTGTTTTTTTCCCCATTTGCTGCTGAGGCTCAGGAACATTGCTCAGTGTCTATAACCAGACTGGAAACTACTTCTGTCTGCATCCAGTGCCCTTGTTTAACCTGCCACACTGAACTGCTTTCCTGAAGCCAGACAAGCATTTGCCTTTTACCTGACATGGAAGTGAATGGTTCAGTGAAACTCAATCATTATTTCAACAAGTAAAGTGAAATCCCCCAAGTTGAGAAATACTAGCCTGCAAATAAGAATGAGCTCCTATAAACAACTGAATTTTGCTTTTCTGCTTACTGTAGAGTTTGTTTCTCACCTCACATTTAGAAACTATTCCTTTAAAAAAATACAATCCACCTGGGCACAGTGGTGCGCACCTATAATCCCAGTGAAATGGGAGGCTGAGACAGGAGAATTGCAAGCTTGAGTTCAGCCTCCACAACTCAGTGAGACCCTCAGTAACTAGTGAGGGCTGGGGATTAGCTCAGTAGTAAACTGCCCCTAAGTTCAATGCCCTTGATTTCAATCCCTTGTATGGTGGTGGGGGTGGGTAGAAAAGCTAAGATTGAGATTCAAACATATCTCCATTGTAACTCAGGAAAAGTACCCCAAGCTAACAAATGCCATGTAAAGCTGAGTTTGTAGACCTTAAAGTTACTGGGTAAGGTCAGGAGAAGGAAAAGAGGGAACAGGGGGCAACTTGTGGCATTCTGGCTGAAAGAGAGCCATGTAGAAATTGAAGTGCTAAGGAGAGTTGGGGCAAGAGTAGAGACAACTCAAGAACAAAGCAGCAAAGTGATCATGGCTCTTTCCTTTTTCTTCCAGCCCTGAGTTTCTTGCAGGGGGCGGGGCAGGGCCTAGAACAGGAAGGTCCTGCAACTCTTGTCAGCCTCATGGCAGACACAAAGCTGGAGAAAAGTGCTTTTCACATTCTGTCCCGACAAAGTTCCTGGTTTGAGATTCATACCTTAGCCCCAGAAAAACAGATCTGGGGGTTCAAGGTCAAGAATTAAAAGTCATAGTGGTTAAAAAACCCTTTTGCCAAGCCCTTTCCAAAGTACTTCAGATTTCTAAACATTTAATCCTCAAATGACCTCTCATCACCCCATTTTGTAGAAGAGGAAACAGGTAAGAAGTGAAGGTAGGAACAGAAAGTTCCAGAGGCAATGCCTCATGCACAGAAGTATGAATGTGGGCTCTGTATCCAGACTCTGGTTGTTTGACTTGCTGAGTGACTGTGGGTTACCTCTGAGGATTCAAATGAGAAAAGGCAAGTGAATCACTGAGTACCATGTCTAGTCCTTGAGTACAGGCCACTGTCTGGGAAGGTAATTCTCCTGACAATATGTCATGTAGGGAGCCCAGACTCTCTCTGCTGTCAGAGGTCTCTGAGCCCCTTTTGGCTTCTAGCCTTAGAGAGCATGGCTGCTTGGTCTTTCTCCTGAAAACATTCTCCAGTCCCATCTAAATAACTGGTTGGATGTGATTTCCATGATTCCAGGTTATCTAGCTCTGGAACAATGCACCAAGCCTATGAATGTACCCAATTGCAGACAAAACAAAACAACAATGGCTCAAAATGTTAGATGGTGAAATACCTCTAGGATAAGGGCCATGCTTACTACTGAGAATTCCAGAGTCGATGCCACTGCTCCACCAAGATAGCTGCAGAAGTCCAAGCAAACAGATAGCAACAGCACTATCATGAAACCAAACCACAGTGTGCCTCAACTGCAGACAAAGGCCTGAGTCCCCAGGTGGCCTGCCCTTTCTTGCCTGCTGATTCAGTCCTCATGCTGCTTACTATGGCCACCTCCCTGGGAGCTCTGCCTTCTGTGTACATAAATGGAATGATCAATTCCCTGGTGTTAAGCACTCTGCTTGGTTAGGCTCCACGAGACCTGGATGAAAAAATTATCTATCTCTAGGGGGCTGCCATGGTCATCCTTGAATAGGAGGTCAGTTCCTCATTGGAGCTTTCCTTGGGTTAGGTCCCTGACCAAGCACTTTAAAGACATCTTCTCCTTGAATGCTCTATAGAAGATGGAGGCCATGTGGGAAATGGAAGCATGAAGGATAGTCAGGAGAATGCTTCCTGATGGCACAGTGTTTGACCCTTAGGGAACTGCAAGAGTTGGACAGGAGAGAAAAGGGATGAAGAGAGAGCTAGGCGTGGGGAAGGAGCAGTGGTCAAGGCTAAGACTACACAGGGTGGATTAAAATGTTATTGAAACAAAGTACAAGGCATAGGCACTGAGTCTAAGAAGGTTGGTGGGGCCATGCTATGACCCTCTGGGGACTTTTGAGCAAGTGGGAAACATGACCAGGGCATTGTTTTAGCAAGGCAACTCTTAGAAAATTGAATGGTTCTTTGGGGGAAAGTAGTTAAGAGCCAACTATATAAATTCATATTTTGAATCAAGAGGATCCAAACTTGGGAAAGGATAAAATGATAGAAAAGAGGATCGTGACTAACAGTATTCTGGGCAGGCATACATGAGACATGGCCTCTATTGAGCTCTGCCTCCAAGTAGTCATCCTTCATAAAATCTCTCTGGCTGACATCTCATGAAGAGAACATAGACTGAATTATTATAAAGACTATGGCTTCTGACTTGCCGGCACCTCTCTCTTGCCCATTTGGATGAAGCCAGCTGCCATGCAGTGAGATGCTCTGTGAAGAGGATATGTGTTAAGGAACTAGTTTGGGAGGAACTGAACACTCAGCCCCATAGCCTGCAAGGAACTACTTCTTGCCAACAACCATGTGAATGAACCTGCAAGCAGATCCTTCCTTGTGGAGTCTTGCATGACTGTAGCCTTCTGAGTGACAGTAAGCCAGAAGTCCCAGCTAAGCTGTTCCAGGATTCCTGACCCACAAAAACTGACCTAATGTACGCATGTGGTTCAAAATTGGTGCTTTGGGATAATTTGTTACACAGCAGATGATAACTAGTATAGGCAAAGATCAGAGCAATGACAAGTGGGAAATGTAACGAATACCACCAAGAAAACTGAGCTGCATTTAATGAATGAAAAAACTAGGAGATGAAGGAACAAGAGGGATCAAAAGTAATTTCAAGAAGAGCACAGGTTCTGGAAAAAAGCTTCCTGGCTTTAAGTTCCTGCTCTGCCCCTTGCTATCTGTGTGACTCTGGGCAAGTCATTGCAACTCTCTGAGCCTCAGTTTCTTCATTTTTAAAATGGAGACAGTAAGAGTTAACTACCTTGCTAGTGCCTGTCTTTTTCCTTCAGCACCTGCCTCAGTGTCCAACACAGTGATGAATGGAACACTGAAGTTGTTCAGCAAGTGATTGCCAAGGCATTTCTAGAAGGCTTAGTGTTCATCCTTATACCAGCAATCAGTGAAACTTCCTTGCATCCCAAGAAGACCTCACAAGTTCTGCTGCACAGCCAGTGCTGGAGAAGACAGTGCATTTCTACACAATGCTGACTTGTCCTCCTCTTGCCTTTCCTTCTCCTGGAAGCTTTGTAAGTACTGTTTTCCTCCCAGGGGAGTTGGGCGACATGAACAGGCACTGAAACCATAACCTTGGCCTCATTAACACTGCTTTACCCACGCAGAATTAGATGACTGACATAGACTTTGCCAGAGTCAAGTCCAGCCTCAGAGAGGACAATAGCCTGGATTTGCCCTCCAAAGCCAGGTTTCAATAGCATAAAACATAGTTCTTATTTCACAACAAAGGAACACCACCAGGTGTGAGATCCTCTTACCTGTCTGGGCAGAGCAGGCATGGAATCTGAGGCCACTGATCGCTGAAAGCGCTGGGATTGCTGCATCATCTGCTGCAGTAGGAATGCAGAATGGTCAGGCTGTGGTGGTGGTGGTGGTGGCGGCAGTGGCTGTGGTGGTGGCGGCAGTGGCTGTGGTGGTGGCAGCAGTGGTTGTGGTGGCTGCAGCTGTAAGGTGGCAGTGGCAGTGGAGGAGGCAGTGGCTGAGGAGGCCTGCGCTGGTGTGGGCTGCTGCAAGTAGTGAAGCAGGGATTGCTGCCTGGAGGGAGCAGGCATGGAGGGTATCTTCTGGGGGCCTGGCTCAGAAACAAAGTGGGACAATGGCTTGGTGTTGCCAAAGGTAAATGGTTCAGGGCCTTCTGGGCTGGAATTGGTCAGCCCCTGTTGCATGATCATGGTCATGGTTTTGGATGAATTGCTGGTTATGGACTTGAAGATGGCATTTGCTTGCTGCTGTTGCTGCTGCTGCTGCTGCTGCTGTTGCTGCTGCTGCTGCTGCTGACTTAGCTGAGTACTGGTGGGAGGGAGGCTCCTGATCAGAGAGTACTGTGGAGTGAAGGACTGCTGTGGCAAGCCTGGGCTGGAGAGTTTCTCTGGGCGATAGGGTGGGGATGGCCCTGGATTGCTGGTGGGCAGAGCAGACATCAGGTGTCCTTGAGGACTTTTGATTGCAGAGGACACCAGGTTTGCAAGAATGGAGCCCTGTTGGCCAAACTGTGGTTGTTGATTGACAGCCACACTGGGATGCTTCTCAGGAACATAGTGCAAGGTGGGCCCCATAGTGGCACTGCTGCCAGACGCCATGCTGGAGAGTAAGGCATTGGGCGAGGCTTGCACAGTGCTGCCTGAGGAACTGTTGGATGATATGCAGGGTCCCATGAAGCTCTGAGAGCCAAAGGGTGGTGGTGGTGGTGGTGGTGGTGGTGGGTGTGGTGATGGCACCGGACGGTAAGGTGGGGAAATGCCTGTAGGAGGCAGGCCAGACCAGGCGATGCAGGGCCTTGGGTGCTTTGTAGCAGATCCCTGCTTGCTGGCTGCCAATGCTTTCAGCTGGTTGGCATGATGCCACTGCGGCACTGGTAATGGGGGCAAAGTGACAGGGAGCATGGCCTGGGCCTGGTTCTTGGCCTGTGTTGTTGAAGGACTGACTGAGACCATCTGCTTACCGGTGGAAGGAACAGAATGGCTGATCCCAGTGGAGGAGGGCATGATTGGAACTGACACGCCAGTGACTTGGCTGCAACTCGAAGCAAAAGCCTTGCTGGAACAAACGCTCTCCATTTGTGGCATCTGAACTGGAAGCTTGGGAGGCATGCCTACGGTTGCCTGGGGAGGCATGCCTACGGTTGCCTGGGGAGGCATGCCTACAGTTGCCTGGGGGGGCATGCCTACGGTTGCCTGGGGAGGATGTAAGACCAATGGCTCTTCTGGCTTGCTCCCCAGTATATTCTCAAGATCTAATTCAGACGAAGAAGGTTCCTGAATTTTGGTTAACTCTTCCAGCAGATCTTGAAGTTCCTGGTCTTCAGCAGGTGGGCTGTTTTTCTCATAGCAAGGAGCAGAGGGTTCTTTCAGCTCCATTTCTGAGGTTGGTGGCACCCCAAATGGTGGGCCTGTGACACTGCCATTTATAGCATTATTCTCAAGTAGTAATGACTGATTAGGTACTCCCATCACTGCAGAGCTAGGATTCACTGGTAACATGGGAACCTGCATCTCTGTACAGAGGGTACTGGGATGGGTACCTGGGCCCATAGAAAGGGTGACATCTTCAAGGCAGGGCCTCTTAACTTTATTAGGGTAACCGCCATCAGCCATGCCTGCAAATTGGTAGTTGTCTCCTTCCTGCCTCCTCTTAAGGGTTCCCTGTGGCTGAAAGAGAATAAAGAAAGAAAGGGACGGGAAGAGGGAGAGAAAAAAATGTTATAAAGGCTTGGCACATTAAAGCTAATGAATAGGAAACCTTCAAGATAAAATATCTCTCAGTCTAAGACTTATAGTTGTCAGAACCATAAAATACAGCCTTTAAAAAAACAACTATAATGTTTGCTTCTTTGTTCTTGTGCTTCATTTCAACAGTCCTGTTACATTTCAAATAATGAGTTATGCTACCTGGATACCAAACAGGACAAAAAGTCACATCAAGGGTATTCTTTGCCCACGTAGAGGGGAGGTCAATAAAACTATGACAAAACCACTCTATGTACCTGTTGCCAAAGGCAGGCATTAAAAAGCAAAGGAGAACTGGCTGATATTTTAAATTCCTACTTGTCTACAGATACCCCTGTCTTGGTTAAATGCATCAGACTGTGATAATAAACTAAATCTCAATAGGAATGAAGTTGATCTGGGAGTGTTCCTGTGGGCAGCTGTCTAATATATATGGTTTAGAAAAAAAGTCTAAGTTTCAGAACATTGTAGTTCTCATTTCATTTATTTTTATTTACATACACACATACATGCACATACAAACAATGCTTATACATGCATAAAACATAACTTTGAAGAACCTATATCCAACTATTTGGAGTAGTCATTTCTTGGGGATTACTGGCAATTCCCTTTCTATTCTCTACCCTTCTGTACTGTTTGTTTTTAATGAGAAGAATTTGTAATCCAAGGGGGGGGGACCCACGTATAAGGTTATTTAAATAAGAAATTCCTCTCTGCAGATGCATCCTCAGGTTGGGGAGATATCAAACAGCCGGAAAAGGCCCCACTGTGGGATCTGTACTGTGGGAGAGCTGTTCCCCACGTATAAAAGCACAGCCTTTGGGAACAAAGCAAAACTGCCAGTAATGCAGTATTTCCTACTCTTTCATGGCTTTACACACACTTATCAATGGCTCTCATGTTAATAAACTGCCTGTCAACAGGTAAAGGGGGAAAGGGAGTAGGGTGGAGCAGAGCATGTGGGAATAATCAAAATAAGAAAAGGAAGAGAGGGACTTGGCAGTCACATGAATGTCAACAGGTGAATAGGTATAGTTCTCTTAAAGAACTTTTTTACATAAAAACTCCCAATTTCAGCTTTGGAAGTCTGTCTAGGACATACAGTGCTATTACATTAGATACAGATATCCCCTTTCTCACCAGCATGATGAAAAGAATCATAGCCCTCATGGCCAGATGAACAAAAATGTAGCTCCCTCAGTGCTATGAGCCTTAATGCCATGCTGAACACTCAAATCACTTAGAAACATCCAGATTCCCAGAACCTCTTATCACAAATCAATTGCTTTAATCTCATCCAGGATAGGGCTTGTACACAGTCCCATGGGTGATTCTAAATGCCCCTAGATAAAGGCTCACTTCAGTGCTTCCTTTTTTACATGGTTACATGATTTCTTACTCATTTCCATTGTGAGAGGCTGGCTAGGCCTTCCCCATGCCCACTGCCACACTGGCAACTTTGCCAGGTCTTCTGGGCCAATGGGTGCTGCTGCTGAGATTCTACCTGCCCAGGTCACATGTTTTCTACTGAATTCCATGGCCAAAGATAAAGAGAGCTCACCCCTCTGGAAAGACTTCCTTTCCCAATGTCCCCGACCAAGCTTCCAGACCTTTGTAAACAAATCTTCTCACTTACTAAGTGTGCTGTTTTCCAATCTCTGTGGTCTCAGTGACAGCAAGCTATTAGTTCTAGATACCAGCCATTTCTTGCTTCCTTCAGTCCACATATTACACAGGTTCCTTCCCTGAGTCTGTGACACTGAGTGAAGCCATAGATGTTGGTAGGATTCCTAGAGAGCAGATCTAAATCCTCTACTTCTACAGAAAACAGAAGGGGCTATAATTTTCATTTGGCCATACAGTCAGTTAAGGGATAAGGATCCTAGACCTCAAATGTCCCAACTTCTAGCCAGAGCCCCTGCAGGTCCTGCATTTGGTGGTAGAAATGAATTACTTTCTCTCCATACATAGATGCCTGCAGAGTCCCATTTCATAATCAGGCAGACAAAGCTACCAATGTGATCCCCATGACCTTATAAACATTCATTAAAATGCATTTTGAAGCATGTGATGGCTTCCCCACCCCCTAAGCCATGAGAAAACAAAGGCCATCCTTCTGATTGGGGCTAAGTTCAGCTGTGAAGTCAACATTATTTCTGGTACTGTCTGAACAATGACATATGGCAATGCTTCCCTCTCTACATTTTTAGTTCAGAATGACAAAAAGGACAAAAATTTCTTAGAAAAAGGAATAGAGTATAAGAAGACAGTCCAGGCTCATGAAATGGAATAAGCAAAATAAAGAACATAACTTATGAGCAATACTCTTTCCAAATATGCCTGGCAGGCTGTTTTAAATGCTTAATTTTGGACTCTCTTGCTGAAAGTTTCACATAGATACCAACAAAAGGCCAGGAAGAGGTATGCACAGCTCCTATTGGATAGGAAGGTAAAAGATCAAAGGTATCAGGGAGCCTCATTCTCCCCCTGTTCCCCACAGAGGGCACTGAGCACTTAGGCTTTTGTGTAAGATTGTTAAGAAGGTAAAAATTGCCTGTGGCTTATTTAGTCTCCTCTTTCTCCTCATTGTCTCCACTGTTTTAGCTCGGGGCAATTTGCTTGCTGGTTCTTCTGGTCTCTCCTACAAGTACATCTGAGTATCAACAACTTTATTTTCAGTACTATGACACTTCCCCCCTATGAGTTTCCAGGCACTTGATGTTGGCCAAACCAGACTAGATTTCCAGCCCTCTGAGGACAAGGATATTTCCCCAGCAGATCTGCTCAGAAGAAAGTAACAAAAATGTAGGCCCAGAATAGAAAAGACAATGGTGCATCATGACTGGGTTTGCAGGTTGGGGGGAAGGTGGAGAGAAAGAGCATATGAGAATATGCCTGGATATATACATGGGCTCGGATGAATATCCATTTTAAATACCTATATTTGGGCATATATGTCATTTTCATGTTTGTTTTTCAGTGGAATGTTCCAAAACACTGACACTGAAGTTTATGTAGGACAACAGGATTATCAGCATTTCCAGAACTGCAACATGTGAGGCTCTGGACAATCAGGGTATTTGGTATCAGCAGGGAGCCTTGAATGCTGACTGTCTTCAACAGGAGTCAGTGATATCTCAACTTTGACCTACCAATGGGGGATTTCCTGGTGCCCCCAACTTTCCTTGAGCTAGCAGAAACTACATGTTCAGCACCAGATGCAGGTAGAGGCTCCTAGTTTCTACAATGAGGACAGGATGCTTCATTTTCTTCAGATGAGGGGCGGGGGACAAGATGCATCATCTCAGGGCCACCCAGTCATATGCATACACAGTCCAGGCCAATGGCAGCAGGGCAACCCCAGTAGGCATTGGACCAACACACTGACTCCATGTGTGCTTTCTGACAAGTCCCTCTCCAGTTGCTGTGGGCTCCTCTGTCATACACAGTGCATTCAGCAAGAGGATCAACCAAAAGCTACAAATTGTATAGAGCCTCCTGCCTGCAGACCCCAACCATGTGCTATTAGGAAAATATAACTGAGGCACAATCAGGTCACACAGTGAATGAATAAAGAAAATATCCCTTTCTGAAATGCTCTAAAGAGGTGGAAGAGTGGTGAGGAAGGAAGTGCTCCTCCAAGTGCCTGGGCAGTTCTTACAAATGCCGGACTTCCCTTCACCTGGTGAGTGACAGAACCAGTAGAAAACACCCATAAGGGGCTGGGATTGTGGCTCAGTGGTAGAGCGCTCACCTAGCATGCACAAGGCACTGGGTTCGATCCTCAGCACCACATAAATGTAAAATAAACATATTGTGTCCACCTAAAACTTAGGAATAAATATATTTAACCTAAAACTTAGGAATAAATATATTTAAAAAAAACCCATAAGCTGTAATGCTTAGACACCCTGCAAAGCAGAGAGGCCCAGATATTCCATAAACTAGTGGGCTGTGAAATCCCATAATTATGCTGTAAATATTTCTTTTATTTTTTTTCTAGTTGTAGATGGGCACAATGCCTTTATCATTCTTATTTATTTTTATGTGGTGCTGAGGATCGAACCCAGAGCTTCACACATGCTAAGCAGGCACTCTACCGCTGAGCTACAGCTCTAGGCCTGCTATAAATATTTTTTAGGCTGCCCTGGGCTATGACAGACCCTGTCCCCAGCTTGCTATATGTCTACCTAGAGCCCATGTGCAGATGAGCCATCCAGGCAGGCTAAGAGTGTAGAGTTACATTCAGAGACCTACCCAGGGAGTGGAAAGCAGCCATACCAACAGTCTCAACTCATTTGGTGGACCCTGCTTTCATGCCATACAACACTATTTGAGGCCTCAGATTTGGCTGATGAATATATATCAGATGGGGAGCACTTATCTCCACCTCCCTTGCTCCCTGGATACTCAGGCCTTCCTCTCACAAGTGTCACCTTCTTGGCTGTGTCTTTAAATGCAGGATCCTTTAGGCAGTGGAAGGCTCCTTGCTGATGGTGATTTGAGAGGTGGGGAAGCCCCTGGGCTGATCCCTGATGG